ACGATATATGGTTATTATCTACCACTCAAACATTGCATTGAAGTATCATATAGATCCAGTAAAACGGTAACCAATAGACTAGGCTACTATAATGACGCTGGCTTGTAAACGTGATCATCGCGATCATTTGTCGTTAGAAAAAAATAAAACCCATGAAATTATATTCATATGACATGCTGAAATATATGCCACTGTACCTGGGATGAAGACATTTCAGACAAGACGCAAGCAGAACACCTGCATGTGACCTCTTCCTACAGTGTTCAGGGCTATCGTGGTTGTCAACAATTGCACGTGCATGTAGGATGACAGAGTTTACGACAGTAGTAGAGGTCTAGAGGACAATACTGTTTCCCAACTGTAGGGGGACCCCACCCCGAGAGCAAAAGTAACCTGGTGTTACTTTAACTTACTTGTTCAGCAGAGAAAAGCCGTCTCTTCTTCCGTTTCGAACCCCTTCAAAACACGGAGTTCACGCACTTTTCAAAAGCCCCGCCGATGTTTAAATCCTTGTGTTCGCATGAGACGGTTTCTTTCTCTTTCTCTAGCCACCTTAAATCCGAAGTACGAAGTCTTTGGGGTTTTATAACTGCTGAATCTCCAGTTGACACTGATGATTGTTGTTTGGATCTTTCTGGATGCCATAAGTTTAATTATGTAAAGTGCTGGGAGAAAAGCCTATACATCTAAACATCTCGTCACGCGCAGTATAGCCGGCTAGCCGAAACTCCTTCTTTATGTGTACGGGTGTGACGTAATGACGCAAAGACATGCTCGAATTTCCCGCGGAAACCCACCAGTACCACTGGAATTAAAATCATTATTACAAGCTAACCGTTTTGAATCTAGCTATGGCAAGCAGATAGTTTTGACCACTGGCAGAATAAGTTTTTTTTTATTTAATTATTTTGGATTATTTTTAACTTAAAAAAGCTACGGACTGCAGCTTTAAGAAATCATTAAGATTAAACATGTCAAGTAATTATATGTCCACCCTGTCTGCCATAGAGCGTAAAAGATACATACACAAACTTAATTTGTTCAATTTAAAAACATGTCCCTTCATTCTCCCAGTCAAATTGGTGTAACAACCCCACCCAGTGGCCAGAGGTGTCTTTCTTTTACTGTCTATGGTCTTACCCTGACATTTACTCATATCGTACTTCATCGAGTCACCATATGGTAAGCCAGTGAATGATTTTACTTCGTTTTTGAAAGTAAACGTCTTTAAATGTATATATTTTGTCTTATAATATACATTATATAATATATATAACCTCACTGGGTGGGGTTGTTACACCAATCTGACGCTGGGAAAATAAACGGACATGTTTTTAAATTGACCAAATTAAGTTTGTGTATGTATCTTTTACGCTCTATGGCAGGCAGGGTGGACATATAATTACTTGACATGGTTTATATAAGTGATTTCTTAAGTTATTTACTCCTGTCGGCTGTGTACGGACGTTGGTTTTTGCCGTTAAAAAGGGGCGGGGACGAAATTGACAGTTAAGTTCCCGGATGTGCCGGTTGTGCGTATTGCAGCGCAGCCGATGCACAGCGCTTTGATGGGCATAGGTTACATCTATCGCTCTACAGCTGCGCGCGCGCCCTTCCGAGAGAAGTGCCCTTCCGGCGCATCTGACGTCATACGCGCCCATACTCGAAAAAAACTTTCCGAAACTTGTGACAACCAGGAAGGAGTATTTTGAAAACAGAAATACTCAATCAAACGTACAACTTAATTTTTGAAACTTTGTCCATGTTTAGCATGGGAATCCCACTCTTTAACAGTGTAAAAAACTCACTATGCATGAAATAGCATTTCACCCCCCCTTTAAGTGGATCAATATCCCATGCATCTTTATTGCTCACTTGTTGACATGCACCCATGTTTTTACTCTGCTTGCATAATACAGGTCATGCAGGGGTGGGGGGTCACTAGAATTGTGCAATTTAAAAAATGTACAAATAGCTGAGTATACCTATTTGTTGGTAAACTACACATTTCAAATTAATATTAAAATGCACTGTACTATATAATATGTAAATATAATAAAAAATGGAATCAGTTTGAAAATGATGGCGAATACTGTATATCAATTACATATCAGCTGTCACCCAATATTGGTAACCACTGATACCGGCAAACTTTTTTTTATTGCACTGATCTGAGTACATTCTTAGTTAGCAGTTAACAATAGTTTAATTTGCAGAGTAAAATAAAAAGTAAACAGAAAGGTTGTTTTATCACCAAACTTAGGCTTCATAGTTCTGCAGAGGTGGAATATTTCTGTTTTCATAAGATGAATTATAGACTTTAAAAAGTATGTAAAGGAACCTCGTATATTTTGTGCTTTTGCAGTTGTTCACCGTCATCGATGGAAATCAAGAGACTTTACCTCAACCTTCCATCATTGATAAAGATGAAATTTTTTTACCTTTTTAAAGTAAAGTTACAGATTTGACTTTTCTCAGGTGAAAAACAGTGATGAGATTCAAGATGTCATAACAACATTTGCCAGCAGGTGGCCATGATTTAACAACTTGTTGTCAACATTTTATACTATTGTTTGTTCATAATTTATGTTTGTTCACAATTTCTCAGGTATTTTCTGATAAGATCAGATAACAAGGCTCAGCTCGAGGACAGCCTTCTTATTTTGTTATCATGTAACTGTCATGTATTTTAAATAATAAATCAAATGAAAATTTGCTACAATTTGAAAACTTTAATTTGAACAGCAGCTTCTCGGGAGCTTCGGCCATGACAGCTCCATCTTCAACACTGAAGAAGTGCAAAGGACCTTCAAAAAGTTTCTTGGAAGAAATCAGCCAAAGAAGGGTGGACATGGATGAGTATGTAAGCGACAAATCAAAACCACTTCCCGAGTTCTTTGAGAAGATGGAGCAGCTGAAAGTTGCAGTTGAAAAAAGTGAAATTGTAAATTTAATGTGAAATTCATAGAGCCTATTTTTATATACATTCACTTTTATTTGAAATTCTTTTGAAATGTGATTTACTTTCAGATTAAACATCAAGCTCCTTTTGATGTAGATGAGGAAGGAATGAGAAAGGCTAGACTTTGGAATAGATTTCTCCCGCAGTAAACTACCAGTTTACAGATTCGATCGTCCATTCATTATCTTTATTGTTGACCCGGTAAATCACAACATCCTTTTCATGGGAAAAATTTTCAACCCAGTGGAAAAGCAATGGCATGACATTCAAAATATCACAAGTGACATTAGATGGCCATTATTTATCAATTTGTTTTGCTGACCTTCTAGAGTTTGTACAAATGATGTACAGAGTATTTTAATAGTACAGCTATTGCTTAAAAAGTTTGTGTTAGCATATAACTGTCTACATAAAGTCAGAATATGTAAATACTGTATACAGGTTGAATTGCCTTATACTGAAATGCCCTTTGAAAAAGGCACATAAAAGAATCTCATTTTTATGTTTCAGGTGTCTCATGTTGTTTGTCTGTAAATGTTTCTGTAAAAACATCAGTGAAGACGGGACACTATTTGAGCTGATATAAATATTTATTTCCTCTTTATATATTCCATCTTTACATGCATGTCAGGCATCTCAGTAGCTGAAAAAGTTTCAGTGGATCAATGTTTTTTTTTATTTTTTTTTATTGTAGGTCATGTCAAAGTTAGCATCCCCACTGTCTAATAGAACAGACAGTTGTTAGAGCAGGCACTAGACCTAAAGCATTTCTAGTTTTAAGTGGCTTCGCCTTACTTCAATGCAACATTGATAGACTGACGACACTGCCGCAGTTTTTGACTAGAAGACTCAAAGGTACAAGATATAGAGGAACCTAAAGGGATCCCCCGCAGAAATGACAGAAAATTCTGTACAGAGACTGGCTACTGTTGGCAGGTTTCCTGAGAAACAACAGCGAGCGACACGCTCTAGAATCAAACTATATCACGTCACCGTTAGTGATTTAGATCAGAGAATCCTGGCCTGTACACAATAGTAGCTATATACAGTGTGTTACGCTGCAAATCAGGGCTTTTTTTGCTGGGTTTGATTTAAAAAAATCCAATTTCATATGTGTTTTTGTTCCATAAATGAACCAGAAATGCACACTGACTTTCTTCATTATTATACAGCTTCAAATCATGCATAGTAGGACCATTCTGATTATACAGAGGCTACATAATATCATTTAGGGTTAATCTTGTGAGCACAATTATAAAAAAAATAGTAAAATCACCATTGGTATTTTAAAAAATACAGTCACAGACAAATTTGGTAGAAGAAAACATAAAATATGCTAATTGTATAATTTACGTTGCTCAATGGGCTTCATCTTCCACGTCCATTCTAAATATGACTAGTGTTTGCAGGCAAGATATGTTCAAACAAGTAATTCTATAAACAAGATTCCTTTCCATTGCACAGTATTCACAATATACTACAGAAGACGTCATAACAGAACTCAGCAATGACCTGATATTAAATGAGTCTTAAGCTGGTATCAAGAACACGTTCAAGCTTTTTGAGAGCACAGAGGACGCCCAGTCCCTTGTATTTATAGCGGACATTACTATCAAACAGGTCTAGAAGACTTAAGGAAAGAGACACAAACTGTGCATGATTATATAGGATGGGTGCAACTCTTCATCAGAAATCCCATGCAATGTTTTACACATCTGTCATTACACTGAAAGGTACTAGAGCGCAGTGTCCTGGTCCGAAGGGGCTGGTCTTTAGAAAGGATGCTTGTGTACGTGTGAATCATTTTAACAAAGCAAATTATTTCTGATAGTGTTTCAATGCATTCTGTTTCAGCTCGCTCACGGATAGAGGCTGCCATCTTGTATTTGACAGCACCCAACAAATAAAAACTGCCCTCAAATGTCCATACCAACCACGATGCAAGAGCAAATGACCTTCGTGACCTTGCCTGAATGGATCAGATGAGGAAAGCACACAATTGTGAATTCATGCGTGTTTGTGCGTGACGCGATGCGTCCTCTGAGTTCTCGCGTTTAGTTGTAACTCTTCTGCAGGTGAAGATGAAAGGTGGAGTCATCGAACAGTGGATTCTTCACTTCCATTTCCCCGGTCTGGAAAGAAAAACAAACACCACGTCACTATGGGAGACCTCATACTGCAGCACTGTGGGTGACATCATAATACCATCTATTGCAACTGCAGGAGGCATGATTTATGATAGTGTTAGTGAAGATCACTCTCATACGCAAACACAACAAACATAAGCCGCTTTTACACCGTCGGGCCAAACCGTACTCTGCTTAACCGGTATGGATAACGGCCGATCTTTGGAATGTCATTTTGTTGTGTCAAGTGTAATTTTGTGTGTTTACAGACAATATGAAATGTCAATAGCAACTGTTATGAGGATGATCAAATATTTATTTTAGTTTTATCATTCATTCAGCTACAGAGAAACTGGTAGCCAGGCAACAGACAAGTGACCAATCCTGAGTTGCGCATCAATATACGCATTCTACCAGCACGGTAGAAATACAAATGGAACCGTTCCTTACTGTTCGTAGAACCGTTCAGCCTGAAGGTTGAAAAGCGCTATAGATGCAATCTGTCACACATTAAGAATAATTAAGTATTGCTCTCTTACTGGGGCAAGTCCAGGGCACTCATACACAGTGAAGTCTCCATCTTCATTTTCCTCATCCGAAGTGGCTCCCGAATCTGGAATCTTGGAATCACTCCGTTGTCTGCATGAGGATAAAAAGACACAGAAGCCATGCCACTAAGTTGTGAATAATATTGTAAATTATGCCATTTATTTATTTTATTTCACCTATTCAGTCCTACCTATTTTAAAAAAATACACATAAAATAACAAATAAAATGTTTGTTTTTTAATTATTATTGGTGCTCATACATGTTTCTTTATTATTTGTTAAATTATATTTTCCATTTCACTTCTTTAAAAGAAAGTTGGGCATGTATGATTTCTAATATTACAATGATTTGTAAGCCTACATGTGTTAAATGATTGTGGTATAAGAAATATTGTTTTCTGCTTTCAAATTTAGATGGAGTAGATGAAGAACATATACTGTCCTACCATTCAAAAGTTTGGGGACGTTAATATTTTTTTTTATATTTTTGAAAGAAGTCTCTTATGCTCATCAAGGCTGCAATTGTTGGTTCATAAATAGTTAAAACACCAACATTGTGAAATATTATTACTATTTTAAAATAACTATTTCTATTTTAAATATATTTTTATTTTATTTTCAGCAGGCATTACTCCAGTCTTCAGTGTCACATGATCATTCAGAAATCATTCTTATATATTGTATTTGGTAACATTTCTTATTAACTTTATTATCATTCTCTAAAACAGGCAGGCTGAGTATTGGTGGGAAAGGTTGCATCCATGAAAGGCAGTTAATGAGAGACAGAAGTTTATTAATGCTGTTTGCTGACTACTCACTTGAGTGACATCATTTGCTGCTTCTGAAGCTGAAAGTGGTACATCTGGGCACTCTGGGCAAGTGTTTTATCTCCAGTCTAATATTAGAATAATAGAAGAGCGTGTGAACATGCAAACAATAAGACACATGCCTGGATGTCACTTTGTTTTTGTATGTGTACATGGTCTACTCACCATGCCACTATCATAAGAATTTGGACCTATCAACCCAAAAGCAGGATAATCGACCTTCTGGGCCAGACGATTGCCTCTCTGCATCCTGAGAAGAAAAATGACAGCGTCAGTATCATTCAACTCTACTTGCTCATCCAACAAGGTTTTGAAAGGTCTTTAAAGACCTCATAATATCTAAGTTACGATTTTATAGCTTTTAGTCCTTGTGGGTTTTTTTCTTCTTCTTTTTTTGAAGATTTTTGAGTTGTTCTTTGAGTTCATCAACTCGACCATTCAAAAGCTTGGGGTCATTTTGTGTTGGTCTTATATTCACCAAGGCAGCAATTATTTGATTTAAAATACACACACACACACACACACACTTAACTGTTTTCTATTTTAATATTTTTTTTTAAATGCAATTTATTCTTGTGATGGCAAAGCTGCATTTTCCTTTTTTTCCCCCAGTCTTCAATGTCACGTGATCCTTTAGAAATAATTTTAATATGCTGATTTAGTGCTCAAGAAACATTTCTTCTTATTTACCAAAGTTGAAAACAGTCAAGCTGCTTATTTTGTGGATACGTGATACATTGTGTAAACCGTAAGCATTTATTGGGAATAGAAAACTTTATTAACATTATAAATGTCTTTACTGTCATTTCAGATCAATTTATTGCATCCTTGCTGAATAAAAGTATCAATTTCTTTAAAAAAAGATAACAACAACAACAACTTTTGAACGGTAGTGTATAGGCTAATGTACTAAAATGTACATCTCTTACAGGTTTTTTAAGTTCATTACTGAGAAAGTCCAAAATATAAGTCAGACTGCCATGTAAATCGTGCAAAATCTCACCTGACCCAACACACTCCAGTCAAGACCATAGCCACTGAGCCCACCATAAAAAACACACCCAAAAATACTAAAGGAGAAAAAACAAAAAGGAGTATGTCATGAAAAGGAAGGTCCACAAACTCTTATATCTTTATAAACATCAACAAACAAGATATAACTCACTGATGAAGGAGTGGTCCTCAGAGGGGTACGGGATGATAAAGGGGGCGCTGTGCACAGGAGTGTGTGAGGCTGGGCTGGTGGTAGAGGAGGCAGTGGTCAGGACACTTGTCAGAGGCTGTTCTGATGTAGCAGCGGTAGAAAATGCTTCTGCTCTGTGCTGACTGCTCGGCCAGGAATCTTCAGGGACTTTGGGAGCCGCTGGAGAGGGGGCTGAAGAACATGAGAAAAATACAAAAAGAAAGACTGTCAGGTCTGAATGGAAAGTACTGAATTAACAATGTTCAAGAAAGTATGGAAGCCTTGTTTCCGCAACAGAATAAAAAAATTAAAAAGGTAATTACTAATCACGACTTTTATCTTGCGATTTATTTTGAGATATAAAAGAATTGCGAGAGAAAAAAGTAACTTATTTATTTTTTATTCTGTGGCGGAAACAACCGTCCATAAGAAAGACCTAAAATTTAGACAAGTGGGTGCCAAAGTATGGCAGCACTCTTTTAAAGGGACAGTTTACCAAAAAATAAATGTTGTTATTTTCTCACCGTGATTTTGTTGTAAACGACATATTATTTTTCTGTGAGACACAAAAGGTGACATTTTATGTACCTTTTTTCCCCATACAAAAGTGACCGCAGCTGTCAAGCTCCAAAATAGAGAAAAATAAAGACCATAAATGTAGACATGCATATAAATAGTCTTTTGAAGCCATACAATCGATTTTTGTGAGGAATAGAGCAAAAATGAAGTCATTATTCACTGATAATCTTCACCAAATATTTCCTTTAGATGAGTCATGGCAGACCTGACATCATCAGCACCAAACACCATTACTTCTCGTGTGTGTGACGTGAACTGCAGTGTCAGTTTGAATATAAAGACTGAAATTTGTTCCTCACAGAAAGCTTTTGTATGGATTCAGAAAATCTGGAATATAGTGCACAAGTGGACCTGACAGTCATGATGAGTCAAGCTGAGCTTGTATGTACTTTGTCGTTTTATGTTTCACAGAAGAAAGTAAGACATACAGGTTTGGAATGACAAGAGGGTGAGTAAATGATAACAGAATCTTTGGGTGAACTATCCCACTGATCTCCCTTGAATAGTGGGATCCACATGTCTTACCTAAGTGCTTCATCTCTGATTCTCTGTGTCTGCTGATGATGGAGGACAGAATGTCTATCTCTTCATCCAGCTCTGGGAGATGGTTGACCTTGGCTGCTTGGGCAAGAAAGAGTGAAAGAGAAACATGAGAGTTACAAAGGGAGAGAGAGGGAGGATGAAGAGAAAGAATAATGGAAAACGCTTACACCAGCATTCAAAAGTTTGGGTCTGTAATTTTCTAATGTTTTTGAAAGAAGTCTCTTATGCTCTCCAAGGCTGTGTTTATTTGATCAACAGTGAAAACAGTAATATTTTAAAATATTATTACAATTAAAAATAACGGTATTCGGTTTTAACATATTAAAAAAATAATACAGTTTTTCTCGATTGCTTAAACACATTTCTTGAAACTATGCCTCGTATTCTCAAAACAGTAAACACAAATCCATAACGTCTCACCCAATTCCCCAAACATCCTATTTTCAGGTCGAAATGAAGCTCTACACTCAAAACCATTCACTCTTGCTGAAAAACCAAACTTTGCCCTCAGACAGGACACACAAGCCCTCAGAAATACACACACTACAACATAGTCTTACACACTGGTGCTATAAATTCAAAACAACATTTCCAAAACTGGTAATTCATGTTGCTTGTGGTCCCCCGCCCTCCCTCCCCCCCCCATCTTTTTTTTTTTTCCTCTCTCCTACTCTTACGTAAGATGTGTGTGAGCATCATATGACAGTAAAAGAGCATACACAAACCTTATTCAAATATGGTATAGTTCAAATATATTCAATTGTATTGGAATGGTAAAGAGTGTTGGTACATGCCTCCACTCAAGGATACAATATGATGAACAAGTCTAAGAATGTTCCACATATGGTTGAAATACCATCATTGACCTAGAAAGATAACAATCTGGGAGTCAAGACTATAAAGGAGAAAGGATGCCCTCCCTTCACTGTCACACTCTGCACCCGCTCTGTGTGACTGTACAGTCGTACGACTGCTGGCCTTTTCTTGCAAGAACATAAACCTCATCAAAGACAATTGGAAATGTTTGTCTCTTATTCAGTGATAGAAATTTGTTTGCCACCACACCTCCCTGAAGGTTCTGATGATGGAGGCGAAGGTGAAGCGACTCAAATTTGGCTGTACTCGTTGCCCAGCCTCCCTCATAGTCATACCATGGACAAGGACATGGCCAACTAAAGTGGCTTGAATTTCATCCGAGACTGCTTGTCTTCTTGCCCTTGCCCTTCCTCCTCCTCCTCCTTCTTCTCCTCCTCCTCCTCTCCCTCCTCCTCCTCTTCCTCCTCCTTTTCCTCCTCCTCCTCTCCCTCCTCCTCCTCCTCTTCCTCCTCCTTTTCCTCCTCCTCTTCTTCCTCCTCTTCCTCTCCCTCCTCGACATATTGCTTACAGTTTTTACCAACTGCTTACACACAAAATCTTTTCATGTCACATGATTTTTGAAACCTCTCACTCAAAGTGCAAAACTACATGCCAAATCTTCAAAACCATAAGCTATTTCTCAGCCTTTGACTCAGTTTTCAATTGCATAAAACACTTTTTCCAAAACACTACACACAATTCTCTACCTAAAACACAAAGATCTATCAGGAAGTGACTTGCTTTCCTTTTCCAAACACAACCAATCAAAATGCTACACTTATTGACCAGGTCACACATATACTCACTTTTCTGGATGCAATTCATACAATGCTTGTCCCTGATCCAGATCAGGAGGCTGCTAGATTTGTGGTTGTGTGGGACAATGTTAGTTTTCACCGGGCTGTTCTGGTCCAAAACTGGTTTGCCACCCATCCACAATTTGTAGTTTTGTACCTACCCCCATATTCACCTTTTCTAAATTCCATAGAGGAATTCTTCTCAGCCTGGCGCTGGAAAGTGTATGATCGCCAACCCTATGCCCGCATGCCGCTTCTCCAGGCAATGGAGGACGCATGTGGGGACATAGAGGTTGCCTCTGTCCAAGGTTGGATACGCCATGCTAGGAGATACTTCCCTCGATGTTTGGCAAGAGAAAACGTATCTTGTGATGTGGACGAAGTATTGTGGCCAGACCCAGCTCGGAGAAGAGATGAAGCTTAGCACTGGGAACTGCACCCCCCCCCCCTGCCAATTCCTGGACTGGGACCCCACACAGAATTTACTGTATTTTACTGTAAAGAATATACTTTTGGTTTACGTAAATGTTTACGTAAAAGTTCTGTTTGTATGCTAATGTATACAACAGTAATGTTTGGCCTAATCAATATTTTCTGTTTCTACATTGCATTGGCGTTTCCGGTGTACTTGTTACCACTCTCAGCAGATTACTTTCACTGTAGAACATTGTATTGAAATGTAGATATAAGCCTATGAAAGACCAAAGAGCTTTAGATTTAGAACAGCAGTGTTTACATGGTATATCCAAAAATGTGTTATTATGAAAGAAGTGTTTGCCATTTGATGCAAATGCTTCATTCTGACATGTGTTTATGGCATTTTGAACGCAGTATTGCATTTTGAAGGAGATGTGAGGCATTTTGCATTTTGTGTGTGCAGTTTTGAGAATTGTGTGTAGAGTTTTGAAAAAAGGAGACTTAGTTTTGAAAACGTGTGTACGCAGTTGGTAAAAACTGTAATTTATCTGTGGATCCATTGTTCCAAATCTTTTATAAAAGATTGTATAACCTTTTATCTATCTATTGAAGGATCTGACTGATGTGTGTTCAATTTTGACTCTTAGTGTTTTCACCTGGGTAATTGTGTGCTAACTGAGCTGAAGCTGTGCTGACTTGAGTGAACAATTTTGAATACTAGTGCTTTCTAAATGACCACGTGGTGTAGGCAATGAGAAATGAAGGGATTTGTGTGTAGAGTTTTGCTGTGACAGTTCAACAAATCTGACTAATGTGTCAAAACAGGGGAATAGTGTTCATAGTTCAGTGAAATGGGTGTGCTTTTTGATAAATGGCATTATGGTTTTGAAATTTTAGTTCAAAAGCCTGGTTATAGTGTTTAAGCAATCGAGAAAAACTGTAATAATGTATGTCTGTGAATGCAAAACTCAGTTTTCAGCATCATTTCTCCAGGCTTCAGTGTCACATGATTCTTCAGAAATCATTCTAATATGCTGATTTACTGCTATCAATGTTGAAAACAGTTGTCCTGCCTAATATCTTTATGGAAACTGTGATACTTTTTTGCTGGATTTTTTGAGAACATTTATGTTATGTGAAATAGAAATCTTTTGTAACATTACAAATCTCTTTATTGTCACTTTTTTTCAATTTTAATACAACCTTGCTGAATAATAAATAAATAAAAATTACAGACCCCAAACTTTTGAATGCATATGGTCTGGAACAGTGTCCATGTAGCCTACTTCCGAGTTATGTTAGAGTTAAAGCTGTTGCTCTGAGCTATAAAACAGTACAGGTCAGTTACAGAACTATCTAAAGTGGCAACTTCTGATAAGGTAAGTTTAATAATAATGCACCAAGGAATATGACATCTTGGCATAGTTTGTATTCCATTGGGTGGAATGTGTATGCTGTACTCATAGCACACATAATTATGTGCATTTAAAAAGAATTCATCGTGACATGCACCAAAAATGTGTGTGCTTAAATGTTTATGAGCTTGTGTAATACTGTGTTAGCTGCGTGTGCATGTGTGCGAGTGTGTGTGTGTACTGCAGTGTGTGTAGGTGGATTTGGTCAGTTGGTTTGTTGTGTGGTGCTGCTATGCGTATGTGGGCAGTAGGGCGTACAGGCGGGCAGGGAGAGATAGGGGGAGGGGACTCCACAGATTCATGAATGAAATCCGTCACCACGGCAACCACTGGGAAGGTGCCAAGAGCAAAAACTTCACAAGCAGGATAAGAGAAATGACAGATTGAGTGTTTGAGAGAGAGAGGGTGTGTATGTGTTTGTGTATGTGAGAGAGAAAAAGATGCTTAAGCCAACCATGAAAGTTCTATTTTTACCAGAGCGAGATAAATTTACTTAATAGTGTCAGATTATATATTTTCCACTCCAAATAACATGGAAAAAAACAGCTTTAGTTTGATGTGGATTACACATTTAAGGGATACATTTTTTGTCTAGTGACCTTGAAATTTCATTAATAGGCCTATACAGACTAGATAATCTGCATTTCAAATAGAAAGCTCCAAAAGTGTATACTTGCATAATTAAATGCATTAACAAGCACATAATTAAACACATAAATTAAAAAAACGACACTAATAAAACTGAAATCAGCCACTTGCTTTTTACAGAAAAGCCTCTAAACTGAACTCGATGTTCTATGTAAATAGTGAATCATACAATACCTTATCGAATGCAACATAACTGAAGAACTGTGTGCAATTAGAGCTCTTAGTAAGTTAAAAGACAGTAGCTGGGTTCCATCCAAATGTAAAGCAAATATTTTCAACGTTTGCAAAAAAGAAAAGAAAAAGGTATTAGGTGCATTTCCATCAAGTTGTTCGAGCGGATGACCGTGGTATTGGTAACCTAGTAACCAACAGTAAATAAAACACCATCAGCGGAAACAGCCGATTAGTCACGTGGGTTTAATGTGGACTATGTCAGAATCTATTCTGTAAATGCATTTCCATCTCCCATAATTCGCATTAACCATTTTTCGCACAAGTCAAAAACCACCTCAAGCGAGCGTAAAAACATTTTTTGTGTGAATTAAAGGTACAATATGTATGATTTTTGTAATAAAATATCCAAAATCACTTGCACAGTGTGATATATTTCCTGCAGTTGTGTACTTACAATATCCCAAAAGTTCCCAAAGATTTTTCATTTCAGAGAAATTCCAATTTTAAATAATGGCTCGTCCCTGGTCATTGTCGCCTGTCAATGACTTAATATCCACGTTATCCCTGGTTTCCACTCGTACTGCCATAGTAATCATGGCGACAGACGTGGACAAATGCGTTACGTCTAGCAGCACACTCACGCTGTTGTTGTTTCATTCAAACATTATGGACCATGGCAAGCAGACTTTGGGACAAAAGGAGAACTAAAATGAGGATCAATATAAGCGTGGCGTTTTCGAGATGCCGAGAGAGCTTGGGAGCACTTCGACTCGGCGCAGTAATATCATCACTCGTGAAAAGTCATCTCCCCCTCTCCCTCTCCGGAGTGATAATATTACTGCGCCGAGTCCATAGATATATATATGCGCCGAGTCGAAGTGCTCCCAAGCACTTGCTATGGTATTCCGTCATACATTATAGTTATCCACTTTACACGCTTAGAAAAGCACAACGTTTTATTTTGTGCCACCATTCTTGGTCGAGTTACACTACTCTAGTAACTGTATTTAAATAGGGAAAACGTGGAGGTGTTTGGTCGCTTCTCTGGTTGGATCCTAATGAATGAACTGGGCTAAGTTAAGTGCTATCAAAGTGTCTCCTGCGCCAGAGCGATTGAGTGTACGCACTGAGACGAGAGAGGTATGTATCAACTCGTCTTAGTCAAGGGAATAACATAGTTTAATATGAAAAAACGGTGGAGTATCCCTTTAAGGGATCACTCGTTTCTGATGCGATACTTCAAAATGCGCATAAAAACAGCGTGATGGAAACATAGCTATTGGGTCTCATAACTAGCTGTCACCATTATGTTCAGTTTAGCTTTGGTTTCGTTTTTATGGACTTTTAGTTTGTCATTTATTGTTACCTCTTTCCTTTGTTCTAGTTTCCCGCCACCTATCACTTGTCATGGACTTACATTTAATGAGCACACCTGTCTGCATTTGGTTCATCAGCACTGTGTATTTAAGTTCCTCATTAATTCTCAGGCTTTGTCCGGTATTGTTGTGTTTTAAATGCTGTCACGCTGACCATTCTCTTCTGTGGATTACTTGTTTCTGTTTTATTTAATAAATACTTTGTTACTGAACCTTTTTGGATCCGTCTTCCTCATCGTTGGACCAGACTGTGACACTAGCCATGTGTACTCCTGTACGGCTGTATTTGTATGTAAACCTGTGTGTGGACGTATTGACACAGGAATCATGATTCATCAATAATTGCATATTTATGAGAGTCCTAATTCACTAATTGCGTAAAAGTATTCTCACTTATTAAAAGGTTTTCATGTCCCTCATTGTAATGTCAATGACTATTCTGTGAAGGATCACTAACCAGCAGTTAGTAAATTGCATTTCGCACGCTCTAGTCATCACCATATAAGGGCTTTCCGCACAACCATTCGTCACTCACTTCCTGAGATCAAACGTGGCAAAATCTTTGAGTAAAGTCAAGTGTGTGAATCTCAAAGCCAGCTGAAACAAAAAAACACATTTTAAATGGGCCTTTAGTGCACCTATCCCAGATCAAGATACAATAGACATAATTACTTATTTGATTTCTAATAAATAATAATAATAATAATAAAATTGATAAAAAACACATCTAAGTATATAAATAAAAACATTTCAGTTTAACCCATTCTTTAAGACCACCAGGACGTTTGCAAACCCATACATGTGGTTTGAGTCGGGTTTAAGTTTTATAATGAACTCTTTTTTGGCCCTTTTCACAAAAATGTCATAGCCCCCAGAATATTTTGTTGTGTGAATATCTGAACATGCGATATATCACAAGAAAGACCCTCTGCTTTAATAAAAAAAATTATTAAAAAAAACAGTTTTATTCTAGCTTAATGCATTGTCATAAACACTGGAATGTGGGTATGTTTTATATATATATAAAAAAAGCAACATTTTGAGCAAAAAGTTGAGAAAATCCAGTTTGGATCCAGTAGTAGATCGAGTCCATAAACCCCCCCCCCCCCCCATTTCTTTTGAGTAACATAAGGCCATTTTGATTTATATGCTGTTTATTGTTCTTTTCATATGCATCTGCTAACACATGAGATTGCTCGTTTCTGCTGCTTTTTTGCCTGTTTTGATCTAGAGATATTGTACTCGTTCAGGATATGCGTAATAGCGCCCCCCTACACCATACAACATATAACATGCAAAGCCGTAAAAACGCTTCATTGGCTGGGAAGCGTTTTCTCATAAATGACGAGTTAATCTGTCAATGGCAGGGAAAGAGTTAAGATGCAAACTTATATAGATCAATCATCAATTGATGTGAAACCATGCACACACAGGTTTTGAAATTATCAAAATGTCTGTGCATAAAACACAGTTAGAAAAGGAGACCTAAAGGCTTTGGCATAAGCCAAAGAGCAACACAATAGTAGGAAAATATGTGATGACTCAAAGGTCTTCTGAATAAACTTTAAAAAAGAAAGAGAGTTAAAAGAGGGAGAAGAAAAGGGTGCTGTTCATGCTCCTGCCTGGCGAGTGCTATCGATTAGGTGTCAACAGCACTGCCCTCCTACAGCAACACTGGAAAAATACTGATCAATAATCCTCAAGGCTGTAGTCAACATGAACTTTTTTTGGCTACAAACTGGAAGCTGAAAACGAAAATGAAACACTTGAGGATATTTACATCTAAAGGCTGCTTGTTGGTATTTTTTTTTTAAAGCTAAGTGGGTTTACACAAGCATTTGTCAATTCCTCCCACTGCAGTGTAGAAAGAGACCGGCTGAATTATTTCATTAGCCCCCCTCCTTCCAGTTGCATTCTGCAGCAATGTGTGGGTGGAAGAGGGGAAGAGGGAAGCCAGACTAGAAGGTTGCAAGGAGTGAGAGGTCTTCCACTGCAGTTCAATGCATATGCCAAAAGCTATTGATGGGGAAGCCTAAAAATGCTTCCTTACATTTTGAAATGCTACATATCAGATCAGCACTGTCTTAAAAACAGCTTGCAGTGATTTTTTCAGACAAAGATATTTTCCAACAAGTAAACCCTGTGCAGTAATACTCTACAATGACGAAAGACTGTTGAATACCAATATGGCGGCATAAGTCTCACCTTCAAAAGAAAAAAGCCAATAGCAAAGCTCTGGTTTGCATAGAAACAGTCAGTGTGCTTAAACATTGTGCTTGGGTTGGGAATGCACATGCACATGGGCCAACCTGAAGTATACGCATTTGAGCATAAGTTCAAGGGACATTCACGGGACAGTTAATGTCAGATTTGGTTGCTGATTTGTAATGTTATCTAAATGTGACTTTGGCAAGCAGTTTTTCAGATTTCTGTATTTCCCTATCCATAAAGGTTGGTCTTGCATGCTTCCCGGAGCTGTAGAAAATATGGCTGCTAAGTGAACTGACTTTCCTTGAAAGAGACAGTACTCACCAGAGTGATTTCTTCTCCTGACCACACACTTCCCTCGTTTGTTCTCCACGAATGGGTCTAGGCATGGGCCGCAGTGTGAAGAGCCAGGCTGGCAGAAGTGCCGTCGCTCCCGGGCACAGTCCAGACTCCGAGGACAATGTCCCATAACTAAGACAGAAAAGACAAAGACCCATGAATGACCCACTCCGCTTTCTGTTGAGGTTCTGATGACCTTGTTGGGGTTTTTTGTGTGATATTTTGTGATAATTGCCTAACATGAATGACCAATATTTTTCCACTGACCACAGTGACCTGACTGCTTAAATATAAAGTCTATTGAGACATTTATTTATATGACTTTTGTAAGAGGCAGCAGGACTCTATGACCGCAAAAATAATAATAATATATAAATAAATATATATATATATATATTTTGCTTTACTCATCTTAAAATTATATAATAAAAATGCCAGTGGATTAACAAAATTCTCTTGACTCTCTCAGTTAGTATGTCTATTTTCGAGATGCCCCAAAGCAATCCACAGCTGCAGCTTATGTGATCCTCAAATATTAGACACAACATTGTTTAGCTTCCACTGACACAACAAAAACATATCAGGCTCTTCGTCACACAGAATAATTGGATAAACAACTAACAGTAATCAGCCTTTCTTTCTTTGAGCTAGAGTATTGTGTCGTGTTACTGTTATGAAGGAGAGCTTAGGAATAAAACAGCAGTGCTATGTGGGCCCTGCAGCTGAGGGCAGAACTGGGGCAGCAGGTTAAAGTGCAGAGGAGATCCAAAACCCACAAGTATCAAATTATGTCAGAGAACAACAAAGTCGTGTCGTGTGTCTCCCACTGTTTGTCAGCAGGGATCCATACTGAACAAATGTTCATTATAACACCACAAGTGTTGTATCATTCTAACAAACAATGTTGGTGGAACTTGTAAAGGTACACACAACTCAGCTGTTCATTCTTTTGTTGGTATTCAGCAGGGAGATATGAATAATAAATAATAATTATTATTATATTCATCCTTCATCAAATATTAACAGCAAATCTTTTATTTAAAGTTTCTCATCCACATTTACTGTAGTTCTGACACTGAATTCTGAATGCTTGAGCTGCAACTGGTCGAAAATATAAACAGAGGCGGACTTTAACAGATGCAATAACACAAACTGACATTTAAAAACAGCGGCGTGTGTGCAGCACATTTTGATATTTAATCATGTTAAATGTAAACATGGACGGATGGCGATATCTACGGATGTGTGATGAGATGCACATAGAGAAATGTACACGGAATGCGACTGCTCCTCAAACTCCCTGAAGTCTATGGGAAGCATAATGCGTTCAACAATGTAGTTGAAAGTTCCATTGACATTTGGATTCCTAATTGTGAACTGACATAACATAAATCAAATAATAAAAAAAACAAATGAAACATTTAATTTTCCAGTAAAAATGCATTTTATTGGCAGTTTAAAAATGCTTCCTGATTTCAAACTAATTGCATATATGCATTTTGACAGTGAGAGCCTAACAAAATAGATCGAGCAAAGATTAATTATATCAAAATCAGCTTGAGAATAGCCCATTATGTTCTGTTTTATGCACATCAAGGTGTGAAGATACATATTTGAAAAATATGTTTTAAAGATCAATTTTTGCTGTTTTTGGCTTTATTGTGATTGCACAGTGAGTAGACAGGAAGCGAAGTGGGAGAGAGAGAGAGAGAGAGAGAGAGAGAGCGAGGGGGCAGGATCGGGAAACGTCCAAGAGCCAGGACTCAAACTAGGTCGCCCGAAGTGCAACGGAGCTAATATGTCTGTGCTCTGCCCACGAGGCTATCGGCGCCAAACGATATTTGAAAAATATGTTTTTAGGAACCGATTTGAATTTTATTTTATTTCAGTGCACCGCTAATTAAGACACATTTCATTTGTATATGTATAAATAGCATTTACCAGGCAAACAAATGGAACACATTTTTGAACCAGCTTAAGCATTTTTGCCATTGTCAGATGAAGATGGACACTTCAGTTATTTTGCTATCCTGACTATTCCTGTTCTTCTTACCATTTTATGAATGCAATAAAATCAGTTCACAGTCATGTGTTACAGTGAACATGCATTGCATTGCATGTTGTGCCTATTAGAACACTTTATATATGCATAGTAAAATCATTGTAATGCACAGCCTCAAGCGGCTTATTTCTTTATTGAGTTCTAATTCTGAAAGCCTTTGCCACTGAAACCTTGGCTGCTGTTTCCATAACAACTGCTATGGCAACAGAGTAAGTGTGACATCATCAGGTGTGAGTCACTGCCAATGCAGCAGCTGAAAAGGGGGCGGAGACGAACTCTTCTGAACCAGAGCGAGTCAGGGGAGAGATTCAAGAAAACTGACCACAACAATTGAGAAGATGTTATAAAACAAATATATTATTTAAAAAAATAATGAAGCTCAAAAGAGTCCACGCCGTGCAATATTAAAGAACTGTTCATCATGCCTAGATGTATTTATTGACTGTCTCATTAATAGTCATTCTTTATAATAAAAGCATTACTGACCACATCGTTTTCAGACTCATCTACAAATCTGTCTCACATTATTAAACGCTATTGATTACAAATGCTCAAAACAACAGTCATTGCCTTGCAATTTGCTTTTTACTGGAACTGCACATTAAGTGCATAAATGTGAAGAAGTGACTCATTAAACCAGATGCATCAGCAGTGATGGTTTCTACCGGAATCCCTCATTGTCACTGTGCTGGAGGTGATGCAGAGATGGACATGAGGGTTTAAAGCCGAGCTTCTCTCTGTTGTTTTTCAGATCTTAATCTCATTAACAGAGGAGCATCAGGTTTTTTATTTGACAGTCTCTCAATCACACATACAGACACATTTATCTACACTGTTGCACAAACACATTTTACTGCTCTTTATCACTCTTGAAAACAAGAATCCATTTGACTAAAAATCCCTAGCTAATAGCTATCAAATTAACATGATAAGAAATCATTAGTGATGTAGTACTCGAGTCCGGTCTCGAGACCGTTTTCTGCTTTCTCGGACACGTCTCGGACTTGTTCCTTCAAAGACTCGGTCTCGACTCGGACTCGGCATAGGCGGTCTCGTCCCCATCACTAGTTAAGACTGCTCCTCTAAACAATTCCCAGTCTAGCTTAGTCTGTAGGCCTAACTGTTGATTATTAACTGGGGTGATATTAAATCATGAAAATCAAAACTGACATGTCGAGACAAAATCTCGACTCGGACTTGCTTCCTCAAAGACTCGGTCTTGACTCGGAGTCGACTGTATTAACCAACGGACTCGGTCTCGACTCGGACTCGACCCTTCAAAGACTCGGTCTTGACTCGGACTCGACTGTATTTGAAAACCAATGGACTCGGTCTCGACTCGGACTCGATCCTTCAAAGACTCGGTCTTGACTCGGACTCGACTGTATTTGAAAACCAATGGACTCGGTCTCGACTCGGACTCGATCCTTCAAAGACTCGGTCTTGACTCGGACTCGACTGTATTTGAAAACCAATGGACTCGGTCTCGACTCGGACTCGATCCTTCAAAGACTCGGTCTTGACTCGGACTCGACTGTATTTGAAAACCAATGGACTCGGTCTCGACTCGGACTCGATCCTTCAAAGACTCGGTCTTGACTCGGACTCGACTGTATTTGAAAACCAATGGACTCGGTCTCGACTCGGACTTGACCCTTCAAAGACTCGGTCTTGACTCGGACTCGACTGTATTTGAAAACCAATGGACTCGGTCTCGACGCGGACTCGATCCTTCAAAGACTCGGTCTTGACTCGGACTCGACTGTATTTGAAAACTAATGGACTCGGTCTCGACTCGGACTCGATCCTTCAAAGACTCGGTCTTGACTCGGACTCGACTGTATTTGAAAACCAATGGACTCGGTCTCGACTCGGACTCGACCCTTCAAAGACTCGGTCTTGACTCGGACTCGACTGTATTTGAAAACCAATGGACTCGGTCTCGACTCGGACTCGATCCTTCAAAGACTCGGTCTTGACTCGGACTCGACTGTATTTGAAAACCAATGGACTCGGTCTCGACTCGGACTCGATCCTTCAAAGACTCGGTCTTGACTCGGACTCGACTGTATTTAAAAACCAACGGACTCGGTCTCGACTCGGACTCGACCCTTCAAAGACTCGGTCTTGACTCGGACTCGACTGTATTTGAAAACCAATGGACTCGGTCTCGACTCGGACTCGATCCTTCAAAGACTCGGTCTTGACTCGGACTCGGCATAGGCGGTCTCGTCCCCATCACTAGAAATCATCACTTCCTCGCATCTGCATGTGACCATCTTAATCAAACCATGTGTCTGAAGGATACTATAGATAAAAACTCACACTGTTTTGACAGTCTTGAGCGGTGCAAGTTGCGCCTCAAAAATAAACATGAAAAAAAAAACGTTTTCATTCCGTTGAGCTCCATCCAGCTGTTTATGAACAGAATAGCACATCCTTTAAACCAGACGAATTATACAGGGCTTTTATAATACAGATGAGCTAATTAGTCTTTCAGATAACCAACTGACTAGTTAATATTTAAAATATGTAGATACTGAGTCCAGATAAGAAGTTCTGTTGGAGTTTTGTAAGACTGTGATTAGAAGCGAAGAGAACTAGATCCACAGTAATCAGTGTTGCAAGCAAATCTAATACCTACTTCAAAGCACACACACTCACACACACACATCCCTGCTATGGAGCACCACTATCATCTCTCACTCCATCCTGCTCCTGCCAACTGCCAACAAAGGCCAAAGTGGCTCCGCTGAGGGTGGAAAGTGTCGGCGTCTGGCCATGGTTCAGACATGCCTCAAGGTGACCCATTCATGCTGGTTTTGCTGTGGAGATTAAAGATTTAACTCATCCAGGACAGACTGAAACAGACCTTAAAATATCTCTGACAGAAGGACAATATGAGGCAGAGCTTTTTGTGGCATGCAGATTTTAACACCACATGTACAGTAAATTTTCACTGTATCTTCGCACCGAAGTCTCAAAAGACATAAAACGTCAGCACGACTCTACAGGGTTGAGACTTTGTCCTTTATTGCACCGTTGAAAAGTCGGTTGGTGTCCACAGTCA